CGGCTGAGACTGGACCTGCAACAAGGGAGGAGGACAGCGGCACGTCAGCACCTGCTGAACCAATCACTGAAGAAAGCAAAAAGACTGGAGGTCACGTGGTGCAGTAGTCACGTGTGGCAGTATGGATCGTCCAGCAGTCGGCCCATTGGGAGAAGTCCTAACGCCAGATTAGGCAGCCGCAGAAGGACGTGGCACTATCTCGGCATCGGAAAGCGGCGCCACTGCTCCAACGGTGGCTGGCACTGACACCGGAGGCGGCTGGGGAACCGGAGGCGGCTGGGGAACCTCAACAAGCGAAGGAGGTTGGGGGCCAGCAGCCCCTTCTAACCCGAAGCTCCGGGTCTCCCTCCTGCGGACGCCGCGGCGGTCGATCCATACTGGGCAACGCGTGGCACCAGCTGGGGTGGACCTCCTCTCCTAGACCAGTATGCTCCTGACACACACCAGAACCAATGCAAGAAGAGTCGAAGGAAGAAGTAACCTACGAATTCTTCGGCAAAGCAGTAGAGTTTCCAGAACCTACCGAGGAGCCGCCGCCGCCAGAGCAAGGAACACAACAAATTGAGGTCATCGGTGCCGAGTACTGTTACTACCGTATTCCCGTAAAGGGACTCCCCATCGCCGACTGGCCCAAGGCGCCACCATCCCAGTATCTTCTTGTCACCGGCGAGCAAGTTCACGTCGGCGACACCGACGACATCATCGGAATTCCCCGCGCGCTTCTGGAACGAGACTTCATTCGGGCCTTCGCAACAGACAATGATGCCGCCACCGACATAGGACCTAAAAGGGAGCAGAATGACGCAGCAGAGAGAAACAAATACTATCAGAAAACTGTCGGCTATCGTGCGGAACCAGAAACTTGGCATCAGCGGCTCGGCCACCCTTCTCACATCACGCTCAAGAACTCTCTCAAGGCAGGCGTCTTCAACGACGACGCACTGCTTCTCCCTCGAGGAGGCTCCCTCACAACAGAATCCGATGACCCGCCATGCATCGTGTGCCCAATTGCATCACTCACCCACAAACCTTTTCTGGACTTACCTCCCGACTATGAACGCTACAAGCTGCTAGAGAAAGTCTACAGTGACTTCATGGTTCTGAGTCAGACAGGGCTCGACGGCGAATACTACACCCTTACCTTCATCGACGCATGCACGCGCTATGTCTGGGCCATCAACACGGACTGCCGCTCCCTTGCCTTCGAGTGCTTTGTGGCCTGGATAAAACGGGCCGAACGACAGTCAGGATTGAAGCTGAAAACCTACCAGACAGACGGGGGTTTGGAGTTCTTCTCCTCTGAATTCAAGGAGATCTTCAAGCAGAAGGGGATTGAGCACCTGGTGTCTTTGCCCTATGCTCACGAACAGCAAGGAGTAGCAGAACGGACAAACAGGAGCCTCGTCACAAGGATGAGGCTCTCATGAAGCAGTCTGCCGTGCCAACCAAGTACTGGCCATTTGCGATGAACCACGCTGTTCGGCTGCACAACTTGCTGTCGTCCCGAAGCCCCGAGAACAACAACTCTCCCTACAGGGCTTGGACGGGCAGAAAGACGAACACGTGCCTGCTTCGGGTGTTCGGCTGCATGGTACAGTACAGGCCATACATGGCAAGGACAGGAAAATTTGCTGACCGGGCACGCTGGGGCATCCACATCGGGATCGAAAGGGAATACAATGCGTGGATCGTGCTGGACTACGCGACACACGAAGTGACGAAATCACGTGACTGCATCGTTTACGAGAAGCTGACTCTACCACTGTTCAACGAACACTGCGAAGCTGACAGGGAACCAGAACGGGTTTTCGAGGGACACTGCAGCTTCGCGACTTCACACGATGAAGCTGACCTGGCAGAAGATGTGGATACAACAAATGTTACCCAGTTTGACTGCGCACCCAACATCCCCCTTACAAGCCCACTCCAGACTCCAGCCTTCATACCTGTACACCAATTCGATCCCGACGATACAACTCGCGAAGCTCACAACTTCAACAGCGACGCCCGCCAATCCCCGGATGCCGAGTTACCACCACCAAAAACCTCGCAAGACACCCTCTGTCTCGGCAACGACAGCGACGACGACGTAATCGAAGTAAACAGCTTCCAAGACTACGATTGCCTGCACTACGAAAATACCAACGAAACCGGTCTCCGCATCCTCGGGCTCGTAGTCGCCGTTCGCCATGACTACCCAAAGGAACCCACCCCTTTCCGCCAAGCCCTCTCTGGCCCCGACAGTGAAAAATGGAAGGCAGCCATGGCCAAAGAGGTCGCGGCACTCAAGAACCGCGGAACATGGAAGCTGGTTCCCCGAACATCAGCGAAGGGGAGAAAAATTCTCAGCGGGAGATGGGTCTTCTGCATTAAAACGCTCGCGGATGGCTCCATCGACAAATACAAAGCTCTATGGGTGGTGCGAGCTTCGAGTAAACTCACATGGTGGACTTCGACCTCACCTATGCACCTGTCGGGCGGCACACCTCAGTGCGCATTCTCATTTGCATCGCAGCCGTCAAGCAGCGCCCACTCCGTCAGATCGACGTCGGCAGTGCATTTTTGTATGCTCCGGTCGACGCCATCATCTTCGTCGAGCAACCGCATGCCTTCGAGGAAAATGATGGCGCCGTCTGCCTGCTTCAGAAATCTCTCTATGGGATTAAACAAGCGCCTCGCCTGTGGCAGCAGTACCTGCACACCGTACTCACGGAGCTCGGCTTCAAACAACTGCCACACGACCTCGGAATGTACCGGAAGGAATTGCGCGGCAAATTCATCCTCCTCGTCGCCTACGTCGATGGCCTCCTCTACACCAACGACGACACGGAGCTGCTAGACCAGTTCGAAGTAGACATCCAGGAAAAGTTGGAGGTCACAATTAATCACGACGTCACACAGTTCCTGGGTCTCAACATCACCCAGTCCGCCACCTCCATCCACCTCTCCGCCGCCAAATACGTCGAAACACTCGCGAAGAAATTCGCCATCGTGCCCATCAATCTCACTACCCCCTTTCGCACTCCTCCTCCTAATCACGAACCAGACACCACGCCTCTCTCTCTCTCTTTCTCTCTCTCTCTCTCTCTCTCTCTCTATCTCTCTCTCTCTCTCTCTCTCTCTCTCTCTCTCTCTCTCTCTCTCTCTCTCTCTCTCTCTCTCTCTCTCAAATCATGGGCTCTATCAGCAGCAGCTGGGGTGCCTCATCTTCGCCGCCGTCACGTGCCGGCCCGATCTCTCCTACGTTGCAAGCCAGCTCGCTCAATACATGAAGCGACCTGAAGGGGAGAATCTGCTGGATCTATGCTGAGCACTTCAATATTTCGTCTCTACTCCCAACGTCGGCCTCACCTACGAAGCTAACTTAATGGCTACCCTGCAGCTGCATGGCTATGTAGATGCAGACCATACGGGAGATGTTGACAACAGACGCTCCCGCACAGGATTCATTTTTCAACTCCAACCTGCTGGACTTCGTTCGTGGAACTCTCAGAAGCACGAACTCATCGCCTTTTGTTAGCTGAAGCAGAGTTCATCGCCACTAGCGCAGCTGTTTGCGAAGGACTGTACCTGATGGAGCTCCTGCAGGAAGCGAAAGTAACGACGAACGGGTACTTCATGTTATTCTGCGACAACCAGAGCGCGATCAAAATCGCAAACCAACCCGGCTCCGTGAACCGCACGAAACACATCGCCCTTCGTTACTTTTTCGTCAAGGACGAAATCGACAAAGGCAAGGTCAAGCTCACGTACTGCCCAACTGGTGACATGGCGGCCGACTTTCGGACAAAAAACTGCCACAACAACAGTTTCAGCACTGCGCTAACCTCTGCGGGATCACCAACAAATCCTACGTGGACCACCTTCAGGAATGAAGGGGAGTGTTGGAATAACCGAAAGGTTATCTTAAGCATTCCCGAAGGCTCTCCACTGTCGCGTCACTTCATAACGAAGTAAACGCCTGTATCAGTACCGCAATAGCTCATATAAAGCACGCGGAAGGTCGAGGGTCACTCGAAGGTCAACAGTCGAAGACAGTCAACGGTCGTGACCCTTGACTGACCAGTAACCGCACAAGGCAGTTGCGAACTCCAACATGGTAACTGTCTAGAATGCCAATAATCGTGGTTATTGTAGCAATGTAATTCAGTTAATAAGGGAATGTACACCTCAGAGTACATGGCTAGCTAGGATTACTATTTATTCCTGTACTCCTATCTTATAATCATCTCGTTCTTCCAAATCCTATTAACTGGGGGGGGGGGGGGGGGGGGGGGGGGGATTTTAATAGACCCGGGGTCTAATCCTACATCATATATTTTTATTATAAGTCATGTCAAACACTCTTTTATGACATCACAGGTCACCATTCTGTTATTGCGTCATGAGAAAATTGACCACGCGCTGACGCGAGACAGGCACGTGGTCAGTAATCCAGTCAAATTAGTGAAGTTCGCCACCCTGATATGATGTGTCTCGCTACAGTTTCGTGGAATTTGAGCTTTCAGCACTAAGGGGGGTCTAATATTGAATGCATTACAAAAAGGGGGGTCTAATACGAAAGTGGAGATAGCATTAGACCCGCCCTCATTTGCATTTGCAAGTACTGTTTGGACTTGCACTGTAGCCAGGGAAAAATTCGCCAGAACGAAACAACTGAGCGTGGCGAGAGGTTTGGCGAAAAATTGCAGCTTTGAGGAGTTCCAAACACAGGAAACTCCCCCGTCACCCAACCTTGGAGTCAGATTTCACTAGGAACCATGATATGTGACTAACATACGCTAAGCATAGATAGAGGAACCGGGGCGCGACAAAGAACATGCGGAGCATCGACACCGCTCAGATATTCTCATGTGAGATGAGTTTAGGTAACATTATAGTCTTGTGCGAGTGGGAAAATACATCTAGCTTGCACGCCAGCTCCTTTCCACTGCTGCGCCGTTCAGCGGCAATCGGAGAGGGAAAGGCTCTGCATTCGTCGAGCGCGTCGTGCTGCATTGATGGGCCCCGTCGAAGCCCTGTCAAGGGCGCCTCGACGGGTTGCATCACCACGCTGGGTAGGTGCGATCGAGTAAGCCGATTGAAAATTACGGAGCCGACGGCGGGATCGCATCGTTCCATGCGTTGGCCACGCCGCCACTCTCAACACCCGCTCGGTAGGCATTTCCCGCTTAGCGCCTCACCCACTGCGCGGGTCTCCCGCTTGCCGCCTCCAATGCTGGGAGCTCTCCCGCTTAGCGCCTCACCCTCTGCGCGCCATGCCGCTTAGCGTATCACTCGCCGCGCGCCTTTCCCGCTTAGCGCCTGACCCGCTGCGCGCCTCTCCCGCTTAGCTCCGCAACCGCTGCGCGCCTCTCCCGCGCAACGAATCACTCGCTGCGCGCCTCTCTCATTTCGCGCCTCACCCCCTGTGCGCCTTTCCCGCGTGTCGCCTCACCCTCTCCCGCTTAGCGCCGCACCCGCTGCGCGCCTTTCCCGCTTAGCGCCCGCATAGCGCCTCTCCCGCTAAGCGCATCCTCTTCTAATTACCCCCCCCTCCCCCCTTCTCCCCCTCACAACCCCCCCTACTCCCTCTCCACTTGCCTCCCTTCTCCCCCTCATTTCCCCCCCTTCTCCCCCTATTTTTCCCCCCTTCTCTCCCTCATTTTCCCCCCTTCTCTCCCTCATTTTCCCCCCTTCTCCCTCTCAGTTCTAACCCTTCTCCCCCTCATTCCCCCCATTCTTCCCCTCATTTCCCAGCCTTCTCCTCCTCATTCCCCCCATTCTTCCCCCTCATTCCCCCCCTTTTCTCCCTCAACCCCCCCCCCCTTCTCGCCCTCATTTCCCCCCCTTCTCCCTCTCACTTCCCCCACTGCTCCCCCTCATTTCCCCTCCTGCTCCTTCTCACTTCCCCCACTGCTCCCCCTCATTTCCCCTCCTGCTCCTTCTCACTTCCCCCACTGCTCCCCTTCATTTCCCCTCCTTCTCCTTCTCACTTCCCCCACTGCTCCCCCTCATTTCCCCTCCTGCTCCTTCTCACTTCCCCCACTGCTCCCCTTCATTTCCCCTCCTGCTCCTTCTCACTTCCCCCACTGCTCCCCTTCATTTCCCCTTCTGTCTTGCAACACATGCCACATACAGTATGTTATCACCCTCTTCTGATATTGTTCCACAACACCAACCCAAATGGGCTGGTCCGAGTTTCTCTTTGAGTTGCTGCCCCTACACCCATTTCCCACCACTCACTACAATATCACTTACACATGCCCCCCTGCCTTGACTGTCGCTCTTGTGTGCCCGTCTGCACAGATCCTTCATTGTCAAGATAAAATTAAAACCGGACACATTCCCAATGGCCCCATCAAACGATTGGATCTAGGCATAGACGTTCAACACAACACCCTAAGCATAAAACGTGCCATGTCTCAAATTACATGCCAAAGATGGGTGAGACTGTTGTGGTGTGGTCAACATTAGACAGACATCGTAGACATATAGGGGACGTGGCGGGAGGGGGGCGGCGTGAGCAGCTGCCGGCGCTGGCGTTGGCTGCAGCCGCAGGTGCTGGCGCTGACGCTGGCAGTCCGCGCAGGCGCTGGCGCTGACGCTGGCAGTCCGCGCAGGCGCTGGCGCTGACGCTGGCAGTCCGCGCAGGCGCTGGCGCTCGTGGCTGGCTGCAGCGCTGGCGCTCGCGGCTGGTCGTGGCGCTGGCGGATCGCGGGGCGACGGAGGGCCGCGGAGCAACGAAACGGGGGCCGCGGACGACGGAAAGGGGGGCACCCCGGCGACGGAACGCGGGGCGCTGCGGCGACGGGAATCGGGCGCCACGGCGAACGGGCAGGGCAAAGCGCACGCGGACGGGCGGATGGGCAGGGCGGAACGCGCGCGACGGGCGGACGGGAAAAAAAAATAGCGCATTTCGCGCTGTAGCATAGGCGGGCCCATGATCCTTAAGAGAAATCAGGTCCTTAGGATGAACGTGCTCTGTACCATGTCAACATAGGGACTAGTACTTAGTAGCCATAGCTAGGGTGGTTAGTAAGGGGGTGGTGAGAACTATCGAGAGGATTGGGCAAAGAGAGGATTCACTATAGAATGTTGGAAACATATAGGCAAGACTAGAGAGAGGTGCACCACCAACAGTAACAATGACTACAGTAACTACAGCAAGCAGGATATAACATAAACACAACTTTGACACAAAGGTGCATCGGAGCAAAGGTGCATAGGAGAAAAGGTGAGAAGGGAGGGAGAAGGGAGGGAGAAGTGAGGCATACGAGCAGCGAAGGGAGGGAGAAGTGAGACATGGGCGCAGAGGGAAGGGCGCACCTGGGATGAAGGCACAGAGGGGAGGGCGCATCTGGGATGAAGGCGCAGAGGGGAGGGCGCACCTAGGATGAAGGCGCAGAGGGACAGGAAGGGGAAAGGCGGGAGCAGGGCGTGCCGCAGTGGGCGGAAAGGGGGAAGACGGGTGAAAGGAAGAAAAGAAAGAGGGGAAGAAGGGTGAAAGGAAGAGAGGGTGGAAAGGCGGAAGAAGGGGGGAAGGCAGAGCGGGTGGAAAGGCGGAAGAAGGGGGTAGGGGAGACAGGGGAAAAGGGGAAGAAGGGTGTAAGGCAGTGAGGGGAAAAGGGGAAGCAAGACGTAAGGCACCGAGGGTGGAAACGTGGAAGAAGGGGGTAAGGGAGACTAGGGAAAGGGGGAAAAGGGGCTTAAGGCAGAGAGGGAAAGGGGGAAGCAGGGCGTAAGACAGAGAATGCAAGGCGGGGGAAGAAGGGTGTACGGAAGAGAGGGGAAAGGGAGAAGCAGGGTGAATGCGAGAGAAGGAAAGGGAGATAAAAATGGTAAGGCAGAGTGGGTAGAAAGGAAGAATAAGGGTATAATGAAGATAGGGGAAAGGGGGGAAGCAGGGCGTAAGGCAGAGAAGAGAGAGGGGGAAGCAGGGCGTAAGGAAGAGAGGGAAAAGGGGTTTAGCAAGACGTAAGGGAGAGAACGCATGGTGGGGGAAGAAGGGTGGGGGGTAGAGAGGGGAGAGGGGGAAGAATGGTGTAGGGAAGAGAGAGGAAAGGGGGAAGAAGGGTGGAAGGAAGAGGGGAAAAGGGAGAAGAAGGGCGTAAGGCAGAGAGGGTGGAAAGGCGGAAGAAGGGGGTAAGGCAGAGTGGGGAATAGAGGAAGAAGGGTGTAAGACAGAGAGGGGAAAGGGGGAAGAAGGGCGTAACACAGAGAACGCAGCACCCATCCCAACCTGCCAGCACCACACACTCCCCATCGCTCCCCACTAATCGCTCTCTGGGATATTTTCCCCTTTTGCACATCCATAGCCCCTCGTCGTCCCCACCTGCCCCTTCGTCCTACGCCCTCCCTTTCCCACCGTTCTTCCCCCCCATCGCCGTTCCCCCCAGCGCCACTCCCCGCACGCCTGTTTCCGCAGCTCCCTCCCACCCGCACTGCACGAGTTGCGGGCGGCAGCGCGGCGAGTCCTGCACGGAGCAAGGGCGCTCGCAGTCCAACCCGTCGTCTGAGTCGAACCGGAGCTGCAAATGCGACACGCGCACGCACGGCGATGTGCCGCATCAGGGTGCGTCGCCTGCCCGTCCGCCTACCGCGCGGACCTCGAGTCGCCTTCGCAGTCACCCCTGCTGCCAATGGGCTACGCGCCATCCGCCGCGTCGATGTCAGCGCGCGCTGTCGCGGCGACAGCGCCCTCGTCGTCATGAACCCGCTGCCAAGCCACCTGCTGGGCCTGCTCGGCTCGGCGGGTCTTGGGCGAGCGCGCGGGGGACCGCACGGCGAGCGACGGGCCGCCTGGTTCCCTGCCGCTTGCCCTCGCCTCGCCTCGTTCTCGCATGCTGACGCGCCTCTGATGATGACGTGTTTTTTTGGAAACGCGGCTGAGTGCTTGTAGTATTACGAGGCGATTCGTGCGACGCGCAATCGCGGAGCGTCACTCGTTGCACTGCAGATTCTCCTTCCTCGCCTGTTGCTAGGATCTAAACAAAGAGCTGCATCTCTTGGTATTCTACGTACGTACATTGGAGCAAGGGATGGAGGTGATGTGAGTGCTTTGGCTTCTCGACCTAAACCAAATTGTGATTGGAGGTGTGTTGTGCGGTTTAGGAGTGCAGTTTTTGTGCGAGCAGTTTGAGATATGGGCGTCGCACCCCAACCACCTCTCAGGTCCGACCAGGTTGGGGTGGTTTGGTTCACGAATTTTGGATAGTTCGCAGATGTGGGTGCGTGCTCGTCAACTTTCACAACTCGCCATCCAATAACACAACACCTACATCTGTCAATTGCAAAACACTTGTGGTACTTGAGATCCGGCTGGTTAATTATTCAGGTATGAAAACCGCGCAAGTATAATGCGTGCGTTTGAAAAATATGTTTTTTTTTTAGGGTGCATTCCGTCTTCCATTTTGGAGTCCCAATCTGATGTGCTGCAATAAAATGCCCATGTGCTCTTCTGTTTACAGGCTCAAGAATCTGATCGCATGAACAGAACTGCCGCTGCCTCTGTTAACTGTAGACCTCACTGAGTTCCTGCCTGCACCATACACTATGTTCGGAAACACTCTTAGCGAATTCATTCGGTATGAGGGCCCCACCCAACCCAACAGCAAAGCGAGGTTCCTGCTCGGACCCTACACAGTCGTGAGATTCCACCAGCGCAGCACCAGAGTGCTGACGTGACGATGATAGACTTTCGTGGTGTCTCCCCGATAAACCTCCTTTCTCCCACACAGCAAACCGCATTGCCATTGAATTTTGTCGCATGTCTCTCACTCTCCCTCATTCCCGCGCCCTCGCGCGTCGCACTCACCGCTCCATTCTCACGTTTCCGCCTCCCGCGTTCCCCGCCCGAGTCGTAATCACTCCTAAGCACCCGCGTTTGCCGAGACTGGGCGACAGAACTGACTTACCAGCCCCGGACGCTTGTTCTCGCCGAGCCGGGGCTATATCGCGAGGATGGAGTACGGAGGAGGTTCGGGAGGCCCGTCGGGTGGGGCGAAAGTCCGAACCGAAGAAGAAAGGAGACGTTCGGAAGGCTGGCTCGGTCGGTTTGGCAGAGCAAAACGTTCGGGAGGAGGTGCTGAAAGGGCTTATCAGCATCGAGGGGTGGCGCGTTGAGCTTGCCGCACCCAATGCTGCCGAGCTTAACGCTGGGACGATCGGCGATCCCGAGGGGCCTTGGGAGGGCGAGGAGAAGGGGTGGTATGAGGGGAGGAGGTGGGTGGTGGGGCGAGTGGAGGAGGTGATTGAAGTGGCCGCTGTTGGGGGGGCTGCAGACGCCATGGGCAATGATTGTAGTGCTGGTGGTGGTGGCTTTGGTGCTTGGGTTGGGCTGGCTGTTGGAGAGGCGGTGGAGGGGGAGGAAGGGGTGGAGGGAGAGGAGGTGGATGGGGAAAGTGGGGGGTCGGAGGAGGGATGGGAAGGGACGAGGCAGTGGGAGTTGGGAGGGGAGATGGAGGAGTGGATGAGGAGAGAGAGGAGGAGGGCGGAAGGGGAGGGCATCCGCGCGTATGTGATGCGCGTGGTGGGGGACGCTCCTCCTGCTGCGCGCATGGGGAACAGCAGCGGGCGCAGACGAGGAAGCGCACGAGGCAAATCCACGCTGACGTGGCAGGACAGCATGGAAGAGGCTGCCTGGACCACCCTCTCCTCCTCCTCTGCCCCACTTTCCTCCCCCGCCTCCCCCGCCTCCCCCGCCTCCCCCACGTCCCTCGCGCCACTGCCGCCAGTGGAGCATCTGATTCCACTAGAAGCAGCCATTCTTGTGGCCGCGCACCCCCACCGAGCAGCCCTCACCATCGCTCCCCCTCCGGGCCTGCTCGACCTGGGCTGGCAGGCCGTGCGCCTGCACGCCCTCCGCCCCAAGCTGCTCGCCTTCTGTGCCCAGCTGGCGGAACAGCAGCAGCAGCAGCAGCAGCAGCAGCAGCAGCAGCAGCAGCAGCAGCAGCAGCAGCAGCAGCAGCAGCATTCTGCCTCTCGTCTCACAGCCCCCTTCACACCCCCCAACTTCAAAACACCCTGCACCACCCCCGCCCCACCCGTCATGCCCACTATCCGCCAGCTCAGAGCAGCCGGCCGGCACGACCTCATCGCTGACATCAGCGCTGCCGGCGGCCAGCTCGCAGTGGCGCAGGCGCTGGGGTTTGCCGCTCGGCGCCGCCCGACGGGTTTCTGGGAGGACTTGGGGAACGTGGACGAGGAGATCGAGGCGTTTGTGGCGCGGTGCTGGGTGGTGGAGTGTGGTGACACGGAGAGTAGGCAGGAGGAAGCAGAGGGAGGAAAGGGGGAGGGGCCCACAGAAAGTTTGTACCTGGGCCGGGTGCGGCTCCGCAACTTCTTGTCGGGAGAGGTGTTGAGTGCGGTGCTGAGGGATGAAGAGGCGGTGCGTGCTGCCATGGCCGCCGCTGCTGCTGCTGCCCGAGCTGTCGCTCTTGCTCTCGCTGCGTCTCGCGCTCGTCGCAGTGCTGCTGCTGAAGGTGATGAAAGTGGAGGTGGTACTGATGCTGCTGATGATCATAGCAGTGGTGGCGATGGTAGTGCTGTTACTGGTGATACTGCTGTTACTGGTGATACTGCTGCTGGTGAAACAGCAGAGCCTTCCTTTTCCGAGCTGCTGCAGCGAGCCACTCGTTGGCCCTCAGATGCTGCTGCTACCGCTTTCACCAGCAGCGGCAGCAGCGGCAGCAGCAGCAGCAGCAGCAGCATCAGCGAAAGCACTGGAAGCATTGGGTGGGAAGCAGAGGGCAGTTTCAGCAGTGGCAGCGGCGGCAGCAGCAGGAGTGTGTTTGATGACGGGCAAGGGTTGGTGGTGGCGAGTGCGGAAGGCAGTGCGGTGATGCCGCGTGTGAGGGACGTGGTGGGTGCAGGGCGGTACGATCTGCACCATGCCATCGTGCTGCATGGTGGGTACCGCCTCGTGGCCAGGGAGCTGGGCCGTGAGAGTGGGTGCTGGGGCGGGCTGGAGAGTGTTGTGGTGCGTTGGGAGGGTGGTACCTTGCACCCTCACACTCAAACTCACACTCGCACTCATGGTGACGCTCACACTCACACTCACACTCTGTCTCACACTAACAATTTCGCTCACACCGACACTCACGCTCACTCTCAATCAGGGGGAAGTGGTAGTGATGAAAGCAGCAACACTGAGAGCAGCAACCGTGGGAGCAGCAGTGGTGGTGACGGCAGGCTGAGGAGGCGGGTGGGGCGGGGGGCGCGGCAGCAGATGCTGGAGGCGACAGCAGGCAGGGTGAGAGCACTCATGCTCACGCACGGCCTCTCCACCTTCCCCACCTCCTCCCAAATGCTAGCCCTCGCTGCTTCTCCAGCAAACCCAACAACTCCATCAGAAGAATCCAGGTCACGAGACTCTCCCTGTGTCGTGCCCCATGCCTCTGCCTGTGAGGGCCAGCACCTACTGGCATCGGAGCGGCGAAGCGGGGGCATAGAGGAGTGTGCGTCTGCAAGTGCTTCTGCCGTGTCCCAAGGCCCAGCAGGTGCCTGGGAGGGCGAGCAGCTGGTGGCGGCGGTGCGGCGCAGTGGGGGCCCGGGGGCAGTGGCAGACTACCTGGGCGTGCGGCTCAGCAAGCGGGGCCGCGGGCACTGGGCAGATGAGCATGTGGCTGCTGCTGCTGTGCGCTCCTTCCTCCTCCGCCACTGGGGCCTGCTCCCCCCGTCCCCCCAACCACTCTCCTCTCAGCTACTCACTCCCCACCCATCTCACCAGCCTTCCTCCCAGCCTCTCACCCCTCCTCAACTTGCCCACTCCTCACCAGCTCCCCTTACTCCTCCTGATCCTCTCCTAGAATGGGACGAGGAGGAGGAGAGGGCGGTGTGGGAGGAGGCGGTGAGGGGGGGCGTGGTGGAGAGGCAGGGGCGGGGCTTCCCCACAGACGTGCAGCTGGTGGCGGCTGGGCGGCTGGACGTGAGATACATTCTGCGCAAGTTCGGCCGACAAGCCATTGCTCAGGCCCTAGGTGCTCCGTTCCTTGTCAGGCCAAGAAGGGGGGGAGGGGGCGAAGGGGGGAGAGGGCGAGGGAGAGGGAATGATGAAGGAACGGTGGGAAAGGATAAGAGTGTTAGGAGGGTCATTGAGTTCAGATAATGAGCAGAAGCAGATCCTATGGCTCCGAATTTCGAATTGTTGCGCCTGCCTACACAAGTCTTTACCGTATGTACGCTAACCATGTGGTCAAGTGTCATGCCATTCTCCCAACCACCGATGCGCTTTCTTCCCCCGTACTTATGCACTTGATCAGGCCCTCAAATTCTCTTTTAGGGACGCTGATGCATCAGGGTCCCTGTGAAAAAAAGGCTGATTTTCAGTGTTCCTAAAAAAAAAAGCCTGAATTTTCAGGGTTCCTGAAGAAAAAATCCTGATTTTCGCCCTCTACAAATCCTTGGCTACGAAACATGACAGCCCAACCTCGAACCCGGGATCTTAGCCTTCATAGCGAGGAGTAACAACTGAGTCACTTCAAGCTGTCAGCTGTCAGCTTTTGTGTTAACTTCAGCTGATACATATGTGGAAATGTTGGAGTACTGGTTATCTCGGGTGTTTTACAGGAAGGATTCGGAATGTGCATTCAGTGTACACTTCGATAAAAGGCTGGAAATTCAGTGATAATTATGAAATGAAGGCTGAAAAATCAGTGTCACTAAAATCTCAAGTCTGAAAAATCCGTGTAGCTACACAAAACTAGGCTAATAATCAAGAATTTCAGGGGAAAAACCCTGATATCAAGTTACTTGATTAAAGAAGTGGCTTTGTTGATGTTTCTGTCAAATTATATATATGCTTGTTTAGGTCATCTAGGCTGTATGGGGGTTAGCTCTAGGGGGTACACAAACTTTCTCGATACCCTAGTCTTGTACCCTAGCCTTCACCCAATCCACTCATTCTTGACTTAGGTTCTTAACATGGTAACTAGAGCAGAAGGCCTCTAGGACCTACGAATCGGGCCCACCTAACTGCCTACCTTGCCTACTGCTCGCGCGCGCCTCGGCTGCAGCGCGCGTCACTTATTTTTCCCGCGCGCGCCTCGGTTTCTAGCTCACGCGTCTGTGTTTTTTTAGCGTGCGCCACTGCTGCAGAGCCGCGCGCCGGTCCGCGTCGCCCGCGCAGCCCACGTAGAGCCCGCGCGCCCCTTACGCCGCCCGCGCGCAGCCTGCTTAGGCCCGTCGCCGCACGCAAAACGCAGCCGCGCGCGCTGCCCGTCGCCACGTGCAGCCAGGAGCCGCGCGCACCACGTAGCCACGCGCAGCAGAGAGTCACGCGCGGCCCTTAGCCGCACGCAGCCAGCAGCCGCGCGCGTCTACTAGTGTACTTGCCTGTGAGGCTCACTGCTGCCGAGTCCGCTGCCTTCGAACTGTACGGCCTGCCACTGTCTAGAGCCCCACCTTAGGAGCTCGGTTGCAGCAAGCTACTGCCCTGCATGTTGCCTGTACTGCCTACTGCCTACTGCCTCTGTGTTAGCCTGCTGTCTACTGCCTGCTGCCTCGTGTCTACTGCCTGCCTGCTTTCTGCTGCCTTTACCTACTGCTGTTATGACGACGCCTAATGTTCTCGCGTTCGAACCTGACGGTCGCCCCATAGAGTTCACTGTGTGGCTAGATGACCTGCAACTGTTCCTTCTGACCGATGCCAAAGAGGGCGTTTCACTGTTCGATTACGTGTCTGGCATTGCCGTTGCTCCTGCTGCTGATGCTCCTGCTCTCGAACGCTCGCAGTGGCAGACTCGCGATGCTGCTGCACGCCTAGCTATTAGGAACCATCTGCCGATCACTGAGCGCGCGCATTTCAGCCAGCACAAAACTGCTAAGACACTGTACGACGCTGTAGTTGCGCGCTACTCCTCCCCGGCCACTGCAGCCATAGGTCGGCTCATGCTACCCTACCTGTTCCCCGACCTTTCCTCGTTCACCACTGCTGAGGACCTCATTTCTCACCTCCGCGCTACTGACACTCGCTTTCGTGCCGCCCTCTCAGCCGAGTTCTGCGCCCCCCCCCCCCCCCCCCCCCCCCCCCCCCCCCCCCCCCCCCCCCCCCCGATGTACTTCACTCTCTATTTCCTCGTTATGCGCCTCCCTGACACTCTTAGCTCGGTCAGGGACCACTTCCTAGTGCTAGACCCCCCCACTCTCACTGTCGACGACTTCGAGAAGCACCTCCTTGCAGCAGAGAAGAACATCCTCGCTGTAGGTGCTGCTCGTGGTACTCCTCGCTCTCCCCTCTTTGAGGGGTGCTCCCCCCCCCCTCTCACCCCCTCCTACGCCTCCGTAGCTGCTGCTCACGACTACCTTGGTGCTGAGGAGGTCGGGGCTGCTTCCGCTCCTAGTGGGAAGCGTCGCAGCGGCAGGGGCGGCAGGGGTGGCAGGGCAGGTGGGGGCGGCAGTGGAGGTGGCGGTGGTGCAGGCGGCGGGGGCGGTGGAGGTGGTGGGGGTGGTCGTGGGGGTGGAGGGGGTGGAGGTGGTGGTGGGGGCGGCGGAGGCACTGGGGGCGGTGGAGGGGGCAGCAGCGGTGGTGGGGGAGGAGGGAGCGGTGGTGGCAGTGGTGGTCAGGGCCAGCAGCAGCCGCAGCAGCAGCAGCAGCAGTAGCAGCAGCAGCAGCAGCACCGTCAGCGCCAGACCCCCACTTCCCAGCAGCTTCTTGACTGGTATGCCGGGCGTGGGGCTTCTGGGGGTCCTGGTCGCTGCCCCTATATCATCCGCACAGGTCCCCGCGCTAATCGCCAGTGCACAGGGTTTCACACTGAGCAGCGCTGCTTCGCTCGACTTAGCGACGCCTAGCGCGCCAAGTTTCCTGATGCTACTGAGTTCCCCAACTGGGCAGACTTGCTTAGGCGTGATGTACCAATCTTTGATCTTGACTATGAGACTATTCTAGCTGCTATGTATGCATTGTCTGTTAGTGCTGAGGGTGACTGCTACTTGTGTGTGCCGCCGGATCCTGGTATAGCCCCTGGTATAGCCCCTGCAGCACTAGGTGCTTGTGAGTCTGCTCCCCTTGGTACTGCGCCTGCAGAGGCCTTGCACACCTTTACACTTGACTCTGGTGCTTCCCGCTGTTTCTTTCGCGACAGTACCACAGTCACCCCCCTTCCTGCACCTGTTCCTGTCTCACTGGCTGACCCCTCTGGGAGGCCCAGTGCTTGCACGGTCTTCCACTGTGCTTCCGTGTCCGGCGGTCCCGTCTGGTGAGCTGTCTGGTCTCCACCTCCCCTCGTTCTCTACGAAATTGGTGAGCAACGGTGTCCTCCAGGATGCGGGTGTTGACACCTTCACCCCTGGCCGACAGCGTGTGGCGATCTGCACGTGCTCCTAGAACGGCCGCCACCTGGCCACGTTCACCCCTGCGCCAGGGTCCAGTCTGTACACCCTCACCACCGAGTCCCGCTTCACCCCGTTGTCTCCCCAGCTGCACGCGTCTGCTCAGGTAGCTACTCAGTGTGAGTGTCGCCGGCTGTCTCACGACACCCTCCTGTGGCACCACCGCCTGGGACACCCCTCCCTGCCTCGCCTTCGTAGCATGCACTCTCGCTTTCTGGTTTCTGGTCTTCCCAGGTCTCTGCCTGCCCTCCCTCCCTCGCCTGCGCCGCCCTGCATTCCTTGCGTCGAGGGGCGGCAGCGCGCCGCTCCTCACTCCTCCTCGTTCCCTCCCACAGAGGCTCCACTGCAGACTCTCCACCTGGACGTGTGGGGCCCAGCCCGCGTCCGTGGACAGGGCCACGAGCGGTACTTCCTGCTGGTTGTCGACGACTACACGCGCTACACCACGGTCTTCCCCTTGCAGCGCAAGGGGGATGTCCCTGATGTTTTGATCCCCTGGATCCGCGCTACTCGTCTCCAGCTCCGCGAGCGGTTCCAGTCGGACTTTCCTGTCCTGCGTCTGCACTCTGACAGAGGTGGTGAGTTCTCCTCAGACCTCTTGGCTGCCTTCTGTGCGGAGCACGGCATCCGCCAGACTTTCACGCTTCCGGCCTCTCCGTAGCAGAATGGGGTTGCTGAGCGCTGCATTGGCTTAGTCATGGAGGTCGCTCGTACCTCCATGATCCATGCGGCTGCCCCCTATTTTCTGTGGCCGTTTGCGGTCCGGTACGCCGCGCATCAGCTCAACCTTTGGCCCCGTGTCTCCTTGCCGGAGACCTCGCCCACACTGCTGTGGACGGGGAAGGTTGGCGACGCGTCGCGTTTCCGGGTCTGGGGTGCTCGTGCCTTTGTTCGCGATACCACCGCGGACAAGCTCTCCCCTCGCGCCATTCCTTGTGTCTTCCTTGGCTTCGTCCCTGACGCGCCTGGCTAGCAGTTTTACGACCCCGCCTCGCGCCGTGTCTTTGCGTCCCAGGACGTCACCTTTGACGAGTCAGTCCCCTTTTACCGCCTCTTCCCCTACCGCACTGCTCCTCGCCCTCTCCCGCCGCTCTTTCTTTCCCCAGGTCCTCCCCAGGTAGACCCCCTCCCCGCGCCAGGTCCTGCTCCTTCAGGTGTTTCTCAGGTAGACCCTCCCGTCCCTGCGCCTGTTGAGGTCACTGGTGACTCCGGTCCTGCTGGTGGTGGTGCTGTCCCTGGGGGTGCGGAGCTTGGGGGTTTGCAGCGTGGGGGTGCTGAGTCTGGGGGCGCTGGGCGTGAGGGACCTGAGGGTACGGAGCCTGGGGGTGCTGAGCCTGCGCGTGAGGAGCCTGGAGGTCCTGCGTCTGGGGGTGCTGCGTCTGGGGGTGCTGAGTCTGGGGGTGCTGAGCCTGCGTGTGCGGAGCCTGGGGGTGCTGAGTCTGGGGGTGAGTCGCCTGAGGGTCCTGAGACAGCTGTTACGCGGTCTCCTTGGAGTAGCCGTCTTCGTCCGCGTGTGCCTCTCACCTCCCAGCAGCTGCACGATTGGTACGGTCGCCGTCAGCGTCGCGCTTCTGCACCTCAGGGCTCTACTGCTGGGGGTTCTTCTGCTGGCGTCACTAGAGCTGGGAGTGGTGCTGGTCCTTTGCCTGCTGGAGGTGTTAGTGTCGCTGGTCCCGGAGGTGCTCGTACTGGGAGTGCTGGAGCTGCTGGGGCTGACGGTGGCGTGTCTGAGGGTGCTGCTGCTGGTGGCACTGCGGTTGGAGACCCTGGGACTGGAGGTGCCGGTTCTGGGGGTGCTGCACCAGGTGGGGCTGGTGCTGAGGGTTCTGGAGCTGCTGGAGGTGCTGGGGCTGCTGAGGGTACTGGGACTGCTGGAGGTACTGGAGCTGCTGAGGGTACTGGAGCTGCTGGAGGAGCTGGAGCTGCTGAGGGTACTGGAGCTGCTGGAGGAGCTGGAGCTGCTGAGGGTGCTGGAGGT